AACACGTTGAGGTAGGGGTGATGTCCTTGTTTATTCAAGGACAGCTTATCTACAGCTTTAGAGGGGGTAAGATGTTTATTTTTGTGCTGTGACTCATTTTCATTACAATTTTGGGCCTCCTGGTTTCAAGTCAGGTTCTTCAAGTCCAAGGTTCTTTTAGCATTTAAAAGCTAAGAAATCACCCCCTGTTTTTCTATAAAAAAACCAATCTGTGCCATAAGCTCATCACTGTCACGAGCAGACCTTGGTCCAGGCACAGGTCATCAAGATGAAATATGGGATATCTCATATTTATGGACACATCTCACTTTACTGGGTGTTTATGATCTTTTCTCCTGCTTTGTGAGCTGATGAAGTGCTCCCATGAGCCATGTGGACAGTACTAATTGCTGTAATTATTGTCCCTTAATTGCTACAATTATTTGTTTAGGAGCACTTCTCACTCTAGGAAAGGAAGCAGGAAAGATCCTGTAGATGTGGAGGAGGCTCCCAGCTGGGAGTGTCACTCAAGATGTCTTTCCAGGACTTTTCATGACAGCTGTGGTGGGGATGGGGATTGGTTTGTGTGCCTGGAAATGGGCTCTTTTCAGGTTTGAAATGAATTAAACAAGTGTATTCAGTTAGAAGGGCAGTTGTTGGAGAAAGCCAAAGTAGCTTTGCAAGTGTTTGTTCCAGTAATGGGCTCTATCCTCAATAATAATGGTAACAAGGAGTTGGGAATTTTTAAAGGTGCTGCTTAATCCTGACAGTGGCCAGGAGTGGGAGATGGAGCTCACCCACCCAGCTGGGAAGGATGCTGGAAAGAGCCACTGCAGGTGTAACCAAAATTCAGGTCCATTAATCATTTCTGGCTTTATTTCTTAGTGTTCCTTCCCCTGCTCAGAAATATTTGCTGTTGCTCCTGAAAGGGATTTACATGAAAACTTTCCTCATTGTTCTCCCTCACTTTCTCATTGGCAACATTTGACTCTTGGCTGTGAAACGACCTGGAAGTGCCCAGAGAGGATGGGTGGTAAGCAGGGATCACCACCAAGTGCCTTAGCAGGGGCTGTTCTCATCATGACCTGAGGCTACTGGGAATGCAATTCCAGCTCTTTTGGGAGCCCTGCAGCAAAACCTGCAGTGATATTTGTTTTGCTGTGCACCTCCCAGGCACAGAGAGGGCAGGGGCTGCTGGAGAAGGCTCCTGGTGCTGGCAGGGCTGGGCAGGAGGGGAGCAGGAGGCAGAGATGTTCCCTGTGCTGTGCCCCAGGACTGGCAGCTCCTGGGGAAACGCTGAGCTGGAGTTCCAGCCCCTGGAGAACAGCAGGGAGATCTGTTCCTGTTACCTTCACAAGCTCTGACCTTATTTAGTGTACTGGGTGAAATTTCCACAGAATCACAGCGTGGTTTGGGTTCCAGGGAGCTCAAAGCTCTGTTCAGCCCCCTGCCAAGGGCAGGGACAGCTTCCCATGGATATCTGCATTTCTAGAGCTGCCTGCCAGATTTCCTTCCTGCTCAGAAGGCAAAGTGAGAATGGGAAGGGTCTGGAGGGGTTTTGCCCAGAGAAAATAGCCTGGGAGAAGCTTCAGTATCAGTTCTGTGCAGGATGCTGGAGCTGTTTGTCCTGCACTTTGAGATGGGGATGTGGCACAAAGAGGAGCTGTGCTAGCTGAGGATCAAACCCTGACCTGATGAATTTCTGCAGGAATAAACCCCGAGCCCTGACAGATGTCAATCAGCCATCAGCTCACACAGAGCTCTGCAGCTGAGGCAGGCTCCAGGCAGCTCATTGTGCAGCTGGGTTTTTGGGGGGATTTGCAGTGTTTGCACTGCCCTGCCCCACGGGATGGGCTCGGGGGGCTCTGCCAGAGCAGGCTGAGCTTCCCCGGTGCCAGGAAACCACAATCAATCAAACTTCATAGGAAACTGAAATTAGAAATGCAGCAAAGTGTGAACTTCATATTGGCCTGCTAGGAGCTCATTAATGTCTCAGTAGGGGCACTCCTGCATTATCTTAATTGCTCAGGTCCTCAGGGAAATTGCCTTGCTGACGTCTCCTGGCTGCTGTCATGCCTGAGGTGGGTTCAGGTGCACCTTCCTCATCACCTTTAACGAGGGGCTGAGCTCAGTCCCTGCAGGCAGCACAGCACCAGAACTGCTTGGTTTGGGTGTTTGCAGCTGCTGGGGCTGACTCTGGGCCAGGCTTTGGCAGGCCAGGCTTTGGCAGGCCAGGCTTTGGCAGTCCTGCAGCCCCAGGGAGGGCTGCTGTGTGCTCTGGCACTGGGTTTGTGTGTTCCAGGACCAGACACGTGCCTTTGGTGAGCAACCCAAACGTTCTGTCATTCTTCTTGGAAAAAAGGGTCTGTTGAGCAGGGAGAGAAGGAGGATTTGGGATTGGGTAACAACACCCAGAGAGTCTGAAAGGGAAAACTGGAACAGGGAGTTTGTGTTTCAGTGGGCTTTGCTCTGAGGTGAGCTGTTAGAGTTTGTGTTTCAGTGGGCTTTGCTCTGAGGTGAGCTGTTAGAGTTTGTGTTTCAGTGGGCTTTGCTCTGAGGTGAGCTGTTAGAGTTTGTGTTTCAGTGGGCTTTGCTCTGAGCTGTCCCAGGCTGCTGCTGGGGCTGGCTGAGGATGGAAGGAGAGGCTGAGGTGGCTCCCTGGTGTGTTTGTGCTGCTGCTCCTGCTGCAGCTGCTCTCCAACAGGAGCTTGAGCAAGACAACAAGTGTGACCCAGAGACAGCTCTTCATTAGCAGGAGAAAATGAAATAAATGAAGAATAATGGTCAGTGTTAGAAATAAATTAACATCAATTAATCACTGACTAAGACAATGTTCCCAGCATTACTCATTCCCCCTTGCTGCCATCAGAACATCAGCCAGGCTAAGCACATGTGAAAGCCTGAGCGTGGTGTGTGCTGCAAACTCAGGGACTGAGGAAAATCCGCTTCTCCCACCACTGAAATGCTCCCTCAGCTCCTGAGGGTCCTTCAGAGAGCTCCAGCCCTGCCCTGCTGCTGGAGGCAGGGCTGCTGGGGAAGGGCCAGGAGCTCGGGGTCCCTTGGGGGTCACAGCCCCTCTGCCGAGGGGCTGGAGCCTTTGGGAAGCACACTGGGATTCTCTGGAGCTCTCTGGTGTGTCAGAGCAGAAAATGGGGAGAAGGTGGTGGAAGAGGAATCCTGCTTCTTCCAACTGCAGTTCTGAAGTGATGACAAAGAACAGATTTTACCAAAGTGAGAGAAAAATAAAACGGTGACGAGACAGCAAATATTTATCTGGATAATTGAAAAGCCCTCAGCAGAGCAGTGTGATGTAAAACTGTGTGGCTGTCCCTTGGCCCTGCCCGGTGACACCACGGGCAGCATCCCTGGAGCAGAGAGCAGGACACTGCCCAGCCTGCCCTCGGGTCTCGCTGAGCTGGGCAATCCATTTTTATTCCCAAGTGCACTTCAGTGCTGGCAGGGGCTGGAGGTGCCTGTGTGGAGCTCCCAGGTGGGCAGCAGTTGGGTTTTATGATTTTTACCTCGTGGGTGCCCAGTTTGGCCACTGGGATGCTGCTGGTGTGCATGGGAGCTCGGCAGGAGCAGAAGGTGCCTTTTGCAGGTGTCTGCAACAAGCTCTGACACTCTGGGCAGGGGAATTGTGGTGGCTGCAGTCCCTGGCACACCCACTGAAGGATTTTCCTCCCTGTATTTGAACAAAACGGGAGGAGAATTCTACTTGGCACACATATATAACTTTATGTTGCTTTTAGATATCCTGTTAGAAACACTGGTAAAACACCTAATATCTGCTTTTTATACTCCAAGTGATTGAAGCAGCCAGCAGTAGTTAATATTTTATGAACAGTGGAAAAAGACTTAAAATCCAAAAGGTCTCCTTAGGAATATAAGCAATGCAGCAAATTCTGTAGAAGCTTTGCTTGCTGTAGAAGTGCAGAATGTGCTCCTTTTGATTTTCAGTTGAAAAACCAGTTGTTGGCAAGTTGGAGTACAAAGAGTTGCCACGGATAAAAGCTGGTATTTCAGCCTCCCTTTTGTGCTGATTGCAGAAAGCAGCCCTCGCTCTCCTCCTGCCCTGCTCTCTGTGAGCCAGAGGTGCAGAGCCCTTTGCATTGCTGATCCCGGGGCAATGCAGAGCAGATCTGTTTTTCTGAGGAGGCAGGAGAGCTGGCAGATACTTGCAGGTGGTAAATCCTTGTGGAGTGCTGTGCAGAACCAAAGCTGGGGCTGCAGGGCTCAGCTGCTGAGTGGATGGTTTGTGGGCAGTGCAGAGCTGGTGTCTCCAGCGAGAGCCAGGCCAGCTTTCTTCACTTAAGGAGCAGTCCCAGACTGTTACAAACAATTGCACAATGGGCTTGGGGGTTCATGTGAGCTCAGGAGCTGCTCAGGGGCCTTGCTTAGCAAGGGCAGAACAGCCCTGAGCAGTGCTCTGGGCTCTCTGTCACAAGAGTCACTGTCAGGCTCCTCCACACTCTGCTGAGAGCAGGGGGAGCAGAGTTGGGACAGAGCTGAGTGTGCCCAGGCTGTGTCTGTGACAGAGATGTCCCTGCTCAGCAACCTTCACACTGTTCTTCATCAGAAGGAGTAAAAACTGAACCTGCTGTGCCTTGAGCCTGGAGCCTTCATCCTCCTAAGGCTGAGGAAGGGTCTCCCTGGCTTTCAGCCAGTGCTGGCAGTGCAGAGCTCACCTCACCCTGCCAGGATCCCAAACCCTGCTAAAACCAGCACAGTGAGACCAGGGCAGTGAGGGGTTACAAGGGTTTGTGTGCTGGTTTGATTGCCTCAAGGGAAGGAGAGCTGGACGTGCACCAGAGCTGTGTGCAGGTGGGTCACAGCCTTGTCTGGGAAACTGGGAGCCAGGAAGGGATTGCTCCTTGGACTGCAGGGGAGCGTGGTGCAGAATTGCAGCTGCACACAGCAAAGCCAAAGCTCAGCTGAAGCCAGGTGCTTTAGCCGCTGCTGCAAGAAGTGCCATGAGTATGTGAATGTGTGTATTTATCAGAAATTGTTTTTTTCTACAGATCCCACAAATCAGTTATGCCTCAACTGCACCAGAGTTGAGCGATGACAGGCGCTATGATTTCTTCTCACGGGTGGTTCCTCCAGATTCCTTCCAAGCACAAGCAATGGTGGACATTGTGAAAGCTTTGGGATGGAATTATGTATCCACTTTGGCATCTGAAGGGAATTATGGAGAAAAAGGAGTCGAGTCCTTCATGCAAATTTCCAGAGAGGCAGGTAGGCAACGCCCGTGTCCCTCAGAAAGCGCTGCGGAAGTCATCCGTGTCGTGTTGTGCCGAATGTGACCGTGTGTTTCTAGAGCTCATATTTGATTCCAAAGCTGCTGCAGTTCTTTGCAATGCTCCTCAATGGCTCCTGGATGTTGTCATTCCTAAAGTGCTCGTGGAGGTTCAGAGAGTGGGAACCCTCAGTGGGTTTCAGTCGCTTCTGGAGGAAATAGAGATCCTTGAGTTGTACCCAGCTCCTCCTGCTGCCCTGGCTGAGCGTTCCTGGTGTGGGCACAGGGAGAAGGCAGGTCTGGAAAGGCTGAGCTCTTGTCTCCACAGGCTGGAGCTGTGCTGTGAGCTGCCACAGCCCTGGCTGCTGCCCCGTTGGTGCCCAGCCTGATCTCAGTCCTTTGCTTTGGCATTTCCCTGCCCAGCTCAGTGCAGGGCATTCAGAACCTTTCCCCTGAAGGCTCTGGGGTTGCTGGTGTGGGACGTGGAGCCCCCAGGCCCAGTGTGTGGGATGAGACTGCCAGACCTTGGGTGTGAGTCCTTGGCAAGCTGATTTGCAGTCCGGGTTCGTAAGGGTTTGGAAACTCCAGTGTCTGAGGTGGGTTCCTGTGCTGGGGAGGAGAAAGCAGCTGATGGAATTCACTGCTGGTGACGAATGCAAGGGCTGTCTCCAGAGGCTCTGGGGGTAGAACCCATCAGCACGGGGCAGGGCAGGCTCTGCTGTGCTCCCCAAATGGGACTGGCAGGTCCCCACCCTGTACCTGCCTGGCATTGCCTAAATGAGAGCAGCTCAGTGCCCAGCTCAGTGCCCAGGCAGGGCAGGAGCTGCCAGGGAGGGGTCCCCATGCCCGGGGCTGGTCCTACAGCACTGGCTCTGTCTGCAGGGACAGGCCCCAGCTGGGTCCCAGACTGTCCCAACTGATGGATCCCTCCTGGCAGCACCTTCAGGGAGCAAGCAGGGAAAGTCACTGGGCTTAAAGGAAAGGGCCTTGGAGAGGGGGAGCTGGAATTGTTTCCTGATGTTGGTGTCACACAAGGAACCCGCATTTGCATAAATTCTTCTGTTCCTACAAATGCATATTTATGTGGTATTAAAGCAAATGGGTTTGGATTTAATACAGCAGGAAGTGACAAATGCCAGTGCTCATTGGAATTTAAAATTGACTTTATTTGCAAATACCCACTGTCGCAAACTCATGCCCAAAATGTGTTCCCTGTGTGAAGGACAGGCTCTGGCTGCAGAGCAGGATCCCATTTTCTGGACCCTGTGCAGAATTACATTTATTCCCTGAGCTGTCCATGCAGCCAGCACAAAACTCAGCCTCCTGCAGAGAAAGCAAAGCCTGAAGGCCAGCAGTGCCTGCAGCTTGGGGTGCAGGGGGATGTGGGTCATGCTGGGAATGAAGGCACTGACAGGGATGGTGCCTAAAGCTCCTCCTCAGACCTGGGATGGGATAATCCAATCCCCAGTGCTGCTTAGGGCTGTGCTCAGCTCCTTGTGCCATGCACATACAGCTCAGGTGGAGCTCTGATGGGATTTAACACTGCCAGCACGCTCCCTGGGGTTTCCACACCTGGGCAGTGCGAGAAGATCCTGTTGTTGGGAGCTCTAGTGGAGCAGGGCTGACTGGAGATGCAGCTCCCGACCTTCCCTGGGGGCAGTGGAGCCTTTCCTGCCTTTGGGTTGTGAGCCCCTCCTCAGAGAGCCCCACCTCGTGGTGTTCATTGGCAGGAGCTGTGCCACTGCCCCCTGCCCTCCTTGCCAGGAGCTGTGCCACTGCCCCCTGCCCTCCTTGCCAGGAGCTGTGCCACTGTCCCCTGCCCTCCCTGCCAGGAGCTGTGCCACTGTCCCCTGCCAGGAGCTGTGCCACTGCCCCCTGCCCTCCCTGCCAGGAGCCTGGAGCTGGATGGGCTCGGGACAGGGACAGGAGGAGAGGACACGGCCTCGAGGTGCCCCAGGGGAGGCTCAGGGTGGGTGTTAATGAAAACTCCTGACAGAACGGGTTGGGCAGCCCTGGAGAGGGTCAGGAAAGGGCTGGAAATGGCACCTGGGGGCAGAGCTGGGCAGGGGTGGCAGGGCTGTCCCTGCCTGGCTGTCCCTGCCCGGCTGTCCCCGTGCAGCCCTGCAGGAGCAGGCAGATGTGGCAGAGCCCAGGCTGGAGGAGCCCAGCCCCAGTCTGAGCCACCCCAGCCTGGAGCAGTGGCTGCCAGCTCCCAGAGAGCTGCTGGCATCTCCCAGTCTCTGCCTTGGCACAAGGGAAGGTCTGGTCCGTGGGCACCTGCACGTTTCCTGCCTTTGGCTTGAATCTGCAGCAGGCTGATTATCCTCAAGGCAGCGTTCCATCCAAACTTGTTTCTGATCAGCCGGGATCTTAGGAAATCTGAGGATCAGTCGAAAGTGCTTCCCCTGCTTAGTTTTCAAATATGCTTTGGCACATAAAGACTTTGCTTGATCCTCTGAGTTAATAATTCTTCACAAAGTGACTTTTATTATGAGCACTTCAAGCGAGTTTGAATATGTCATTGTGGCAGGAGATGAAGATTTGAAACATGCTCTGCAGTCTGTGGGATTAATAAATTAGGGGAATGGTCTAATTATGGGAAATCTAAAGGACAATTTCAGATTATTAATGAAACTACTGAATACTTGAATTTCAAAGATTAATTCATCTTTGATTTTTTTTAAAAGATTAATCTGTACCAGAAGGTTAATTGCTATCTGTAAGAAATATATATATTGAAGTCGTTAGCAAAAGACCACTTGAATGCCTCCTAACAGATAAATGAAAGATCTGGAGTGCATTTATGAATGTTCTGCTCTCCCCAAATGGCCCATTTTCACAGCTGACTGGGGCTTTGCTGCTCTCCCACTCCTGGGCTGGGGGTGAGGAGGGAGCTGGAGCTGCAGGATGTGGGATGTGTGTCCCTGCTTCTCCCTGCTGTGCCTCCCAGGGCAGGGCTGCCATGGGCAGGTTCTGCCCGGGGCTGGTTCTGACTGGGCTGAGCCTGGCAGGGCTGGTTCTGACTGGGCTGAGCCTGGCAGGGCTGGTTCTGACCGGGCTGAGCCTGGCAGGGCTGGTTCTGACTGGGCTGAGCCTGGCAGGGCTGGTTCTGACCGGGCTGAGCCTGGCAGGGCTGGCAGGGCTGGTTCTGACTGGGCTGAGCCTGGCAGGGCTGGCCCAGGGCTGGTTCTGACTGGGCTGAGCCTGGCAGGGCTCTCAGGGCTGGTTCTGACTGGGCTGAGCCTGGCAGGGCTAGCCCAGGGCTGGTTCTGACTGGGCTGAGCCTGGCAGGGCTGCCAGGGCTGGTTCTGACTGTGCTGAGCCTGGCAGGGCTGTTGGTGCTGCCCAGGGAGGAGCAGTGAGGATGGGGTGAGCTCTGGAGGATGGGGTGGGCTCTGGAGGATGGGGTGGGCTGTTGGGGCTGCCCAGGGAGCAGTGACTGCAGGCTGGGCTCAGCCTCTCCCCCTGCAGCCCCTCGGGCAGGGCAGGCAGACAAACCCGGCTCTGAGCTCGGCTTTGAGGGGCAGCTCAGCAAAGCAGAGCGGTGGGTGTGGGGTCTGGGCTCTTGGCAGGGTCACAGAGCCGGGGTGCTCATGAGTGTGAGGGTGCAGAGGACAGCTGGAGCTTTGGGGAGGTCTTCAGGGAACTGCTGGTCCTGCAGAGCCCTCCTGGGGGGCTCAGTGTTGTCCCTCTGTCTTTGGCTGTGTTCAGTCATTCAGCTTTGATGGGAATAGCCTTTACCCATTCTCTTGGGAGCTGTTTTCTGGATCAAACACAGCAAAAACAAATGGATAAAGCACTCATAAAACCGAGTCATTTATATCCAAGCACTTCAAGTGTTTTCCATTTTTCTTCCCACTTTTCCAAGTACTCAGGCACGTGTCCTTTCAGTGTGCAGTGATGTTAAATAACAACATTATGAAATCTATTGTTCTCCCTCCTGTTGTCAAATAACAAATGTTTTGGCATTTCAGAAAAAACAGCCAGGAAAGATTGCTGTCTGAGTTTGTAGTGGCTCGTGCTGTGTGCTGCAGCCTGGCAGGGTTAATGAGATTTCCTGTTAATTGTAGCTGAGCTGGGAGAAGGTGCCCTGGCCTTGATCCTCAGGAGTGGCTGGGGTTGCATTGAGAGCTTGGAGGAATTTCTGAGAGCAGGAAAGCAAAATCTGTCCCTGGGAGTGCTCAGGGCTGCTGTGGCTCTTTGGGAACTCGTGAGCAGTGCAGAGGAGGGGGTGAGCTGGGGTCCCTGAGGTGCTGACTGGACCTTAGAGCTCCTCTCGTGCCTGGCTGAGGTGCTGCCAGCCCCAGGCACCAGGCTGTGGGTTTGGATCACCAGAACACTGTGGCTGCAGCCCCCAGCTCTTCAGCAGGGCTCTGCCTCCTGAGCTTCCCAGGTGTCCTGAGGGGCTGCCTCTGGGATGAGATCTCAGCTGTCCTTTGCAGAAATCCACTTCTCTCTTGACTGCACAGGCAGAGCTGGCACCAAAGGCAAGCACATCGTTAAAGAGCTTGAATTAAAACCAAACCCCATCACTGGTGCCTAGTGAGAGATGTATTGCCTTCCCTTTTGCCATCACGGGAGATGAGTGCCTGGTGTGGGTTTCCAGGCCTGGCTCAGGGGAGCAGGAGCTGTTGGCACCAGGGCTGGGTGTGCCCCTGCCTTGCTCTGTGCTGAGCCTCAGAAATCCCTGCTGCTCCAGCAGCCCCTGAGAAACCAGAGCAGAGCTGGGAGCAGCAGAGCAGGCAGGATCTGGTGGGTGATTGCCTCTGGGGCTCTTGGGGGGATGCAGCCCTTCCCCATGCTCACAGAAATGGGGATGTCCTCCAGAGGAGCTCACCCAGTGCCCCGTGGAGTGTCACTGGAGAGCTGGAACAGGCTGCTGCTCCCTCACACCATCCGCCACCTCAGGGACACATACCTGCCTTTCTCTGGCTCTTACTGACCGCGTGGAGATTGCATCTCAAGGGCAGAAGCACATGGAAACAGGCAGCTGTTGCTG